CTGCTGCTGCTGCTGCTGCTGCTGCTGCTGCTGCTCGGTCTCCTCCTCCTCCCTCTCCTCCTCCTCCTCCTCCTCCTCCTCCTCCTCCTCCTCCTCCTCCTCCTCCTCCCTCTCTCCTCCTCCTCCTCCTCCTCCTCTCCCCCTCCTCTCCTCCTCCTCCTCCTCCTCCTCCTCCTCCTCCTCCTCCTCCTCCTCCTCCACCTCCTTGTCCTCCTTCTCCCTCTCACTTTCCTCTTTCGCTCCTGCTACTCCCGGGGGATCGCGCTACAGGTTGCCTTGGAGCGTACCGTCGTGGCCAGCTCGCGCAGCAGATAAAGCAAGCCGCAGGCGGATCAGTAACGCATGCGCGCCTTCGCGACACCAACTGCAGCGACGCGGATGATGAGTCGCCGGGGGGGATGAGAGAGTGGAAGAGTGGAGGAGAGGACAAGGAGAGGTAGATGAGGGAAGCCAGGGAGGGTAGCGGCAACGGGGGCTATAGAAGGGAAGGAAGAAAAGGAGAAGGATGTGGATCTTCCTAATTGTTGTGTTGCTCGTCTTTCCCCTCCTGCTTCTTCCCCGTTGTCTTCCGAGGAAGGATGACAGTCGGCAGCAGCGTCATTTTGAACGCGAGTACGAACAAGACCGAGACGTGTGCCCAGGCCCGCAGTACATAGCGTTTCGGATTGAGCACGATTCAGCTCAGCACTGGCTGCGTTACGCGGGGCAGCCTGCAACAAACGGCAGCACGGGGTCGAAGACCAACAGCCGCAGAACGAGTGCGAGGATCAGCACGGCGGGCAACCCGAGCTCGAATACGAACGGAGAGTGCAATAGAGAGAGGAGGCGCAGCAAGACAATTAATCCGGGAAGTAACTAAGAACCTCCCCTTTCGGCAAAAGGATCAAACTTCCCGCACCCGCAAGCATTATCCCAGCACCCGCCGTCAGCAGGAGGAGGAGGATGATGCTCCTTGTCTTCCTCCCTCCTCCTCAGCCCGCCTGCGATTTCCTTGCCTTTCATGAGCCTCAGGCTTAAAAACTGGCAACAGCTCCACAGATGGAGGGCGGGTCGCTTCCAAAATGCGGCTCTGGCCTTAGCACTGCGCACATTCGTTTTCAAAACTTTGCAAGAGGTTCCGGAGCGGAGGGCGGATCGCTTCAGCTCTCGCCTTAGCGCCTCGCGCATTGGTTTTACACATTTTTCAAGAGTTTCACAGATTGATGGCGGATCGTTTTCAACATGTGGCTCTCGCCTTAGCGCCGCGCACATTCGTTTTAAAATGATTGCAAGAGGTTCACTGCTTGAGGGCGGGCAGCTTTCAAAACGTGTCTCTCACCGTACTAGTACTACGTATTACTGTGACTACGACTATGACTTTTACTACGACTACGACTGCTACGACGACGACTACTACTACTGCTACTACTACTACTACTACTACTACTACTACTACTACTACTACGACTACGACTACGACTATTTTACACTACTATTACTACCACCACTACTACTACTACTACTACTACTACTACTACTACTACTACTACTACTACTATCACTACTACTACTACTACTACTACTACTACTACTACAACAACTACTACTACTACTACTACAACTACTACTACCTCTACTACTACTATTATTACTACTACTACTACTACTACTACTACTACACTTTACTACACTACTACTACACTACTACTAACTACTACTACTAATACTTAACTACTACTACTACTACTCTACTATCTTCGTAACAAGTACAGCGTACAACGTACTACGTACGTATTACTGATGCTATATTGTTACTACCTACTCGACACTACTACTACTACTTACTACTACTACTACTACTAACTACTACTACTACTAAAACTGTACTACTACTACTACGACCGACCCCCCTTAACTACTGTACTACTGTTCTACGACGGGTCTTCTAACTACACTACTAACTACTACTACTACTAACTACGAACTACTACTACTACTACTACTACTACTACTACTTACTACTACTACTACTACTACTACTACTACTATCAGTGCTATTCCCTACTGCGACGCTACTGCGACGATTACATTAAATTCCACTACCAAGTGAACTACTACACTACTACTACTACTACTACTACTAACTACTATTCTACGGCTGCTACTACTAACTACCACTGCTACTAACTACTGACTTACTATGTACATACTACTACTACTCTATCTACTCTACTACGACTGCTGCTACTACGCTACTACTATTACTGCAAGTAACTACTAACCACTACTATACTACTACTACTACTACTACTACTACTACTACTACTACTACTACTACTACTACTACTACGTACTACGTACTACGTACGTCTACGTCTACTACGACTACGACTACGACTACTTTACTACGACCACAACTACTACAACTACTACTACTACTATTACTACTACTACTCTTACCACTACTTGTACTACGGCTACTACTACTACTACTACTACTACTACTACTACTACTACTACTACTAGAATCACCACCAATATTATTGCTAATTCCATTACTACTATGTACTACGTACTACTGCTGCTTCTACTACTTGTGCTACTACGAATGGTTCTACTACTACTACTACTACTACTGCTATTGCTTCTACTACTACTACTACTACAATTTCTACTACTACTACCACTACTGCTACTACTAGTACTTCTACGACTACATATACTACTACTTCTGTTTACTTTTACTATGTGTATCACTACCCCTTTGATGTTTACTGCTGTTACGACTAC